CGCGCTGTGCCAAACGCCGCAACTCTGCGACTTGGCCGTCCCATTGCTCAGCGAAGCCGGGGGCGAGCATGCCTGAGCACTGATTAAGAGCGGCGAGGAAAGCGGTGGCTCGCTCACCCTCGCTGAGCTGGGCACCTGGGGACGCTGGGGCAGCCGCCCCTCGCGGCCCTTCCTCCCGCTGCTGTGCTTCCCGCTCGCGGAGCTGTTGCGCCAGGAGGTTGTCAATGAGCGCCTGGAGCTCCTTCTCGCCGGCCTGGCTCTGCGCATGTTTGCCCTCCAGCTCGAGCTTGTGGGCCTGTAGTTCAGCGAGCTGCTTGTCCGCCGCCGAGATCCTGCTCGCCAAGGCCGCCGTGGTGGCCTCCTGGTTCTTCTGCTTGCGCTCCAACTCACTGAGCTGGACTGATGTAGGCTTGGTTGCTGCCAGCTCGTTTTCCAACTGCTGCGCCTACTGCCGTTTGGATTCGAGAATGGCCTCCGCGCCGTCCACGCCCTCGATCTTCTTGATCTCACTTCGTAGCTTGCCCAATCGGCGGACACGTTCTGACTTGTCGTCATGCTGCGACCCGACGCCTGCCGCCCCAGCGCCACCGCCATCGACTCCTGGTCCTGCTTGGCTGCTGGTCTCCAACTTTTTGACCTTCCTCCGCAACTGGTTGAGCTCGTGGCGTTCTCTGGCGTCCAGTTGTGACATGCCGCTCCACCAAGAACTCGTGCCAGAACCGCTTTCCCACCAGTCGTAGCCGCAACTCCTGCAGACATGCCGAGAGCCCCAATTCTTCTTGGCTCCGCACTGAGGGCAGTCCCAGACCCTGGGCGCTGCACCGCTGCCGCCCGCGCCTGGAGCTTGGCCGCCCCGCTGTCCACGGCCACTACTGGCACTGCCGCCGCCTCCGCGCGCGGCTCCTCGAGCACCACCTCCTCGTCCTGCCATTGGTCGAGCCCGCCGCGGCTGGGCTCCCAATCGGGCGACTGGGGCCAGGTGTCGGTGATGTAATATGGAAAGAACTGTGGCCTCAAGGGCCACGCTGAAAGCTTGGAAGAATGGGAATCTGACCCAAGAATGGACGCGACGGCTAGAGCCAGCCTCATGAGACCAGACATCTGCCCTGATCGCGCCACCTTGAGCCAAACTGGCTACGGATGATGATGATGATGATGATGATGATGATGATGATGATGATGATGATGATGATGATGGGAGGAAGGAGGAGGGGGAGGAGGAGGAGAGGAGGTGGGACGCGGGGCGCTGTCTCTTCAAAACGAGGACCCAACACCACAGGATGGCTGGGATCAAAAAGCGCGCACAACCACGAATTACAATGCCACGTGTGGCCGTATAGCTCGCTGTTAGACATAAGCCCACACAAGCTATGTACTTTATAACTTTCAGCAACAGATCGAGAACAAAGCTGAATATTGCAACTTTTGTCAGCATGGAAAGATTGCATACATAAGGTTGTGGTTCAATTGTTTAAACTGGCGCGCGATGAACGTGCTGCGTTCGTTTCCCATACCAACCGATGCATTTGCCAAGGTTGCGGTTGACAAGTTAATGAAACAGATGTTGCGTGCTTCCAGTTTCAATTTCTTGAGCCTGCTGGAAACGCAAGAATTTCCGATCCTTTTGCTGCGGGGATTGAATCAACGGCAATGGCGCTCAACGGCAAAATGAACCAATAAGTTTTAAAGCGTTCTGCGCTGTGGACCACCCGAAACTTTTGTTGCACAGGCCCCGAGCATTGTGTAATACTTTCCCAACAACTCGCAGGCCCCAAGCATTGTGGAATACTGTCCTATACGGATCCATTTTGCCCAATTGAAAAACAAAGTGTCTGACAAGTTCCCCCTACTTGTCCAGGTTTCGGGCCGCGTGGCTAGCCGACGAGCGGCGGGCCGCGACACAATGTAGAACGATATTACAACGCATATACATATATATATATATATATAAATATATATATACATATACACACTTTTATGCAAATCGTTTTTAACTTCCAAATAGGTATGAACCAGTTGCAAAATACGAAACACAGCGTTTCCGTAAATTTGGCATGGCAATCAATCGATGCATGTTGTTACATACGCTTCACAGCAAAGAACTCCCCAATCAGCGCATGGTTTGAAATAGCGGTGATATCGATTGTAGGGTCGTAGAGCCCATCGTAAAATCGAGAGCCAGATCGATGGTGATATCGATTGAGTGAGATGGGTTGAGATCGATCCTGAGATCGATGGTGAAGTCGATCGTGGGATCCCGAAATCGGCCCAGAACCACCAAAAAGGAGCCCGGGAACCCAGAAGCGGGAACCCAGGAAGCCAGCGGGCTGTCGAAATCGGCCCGGGACCTTCGCCGAGTCCTTGAGCCTCCGCCAGGACCCCTTCAGTGCCAGCAGCGAGTGGGGAAGACATGTATTTCTGGTGTTGCTGAAACCCCAGCTTTCCAAACTTCTCGTTCTACGGACCAGCCAAAAAACACACAACTTCCCCCCCCCCTCCGAAGAAAAACACAACTTTCCCGCCCCTCCACAAAAAAACGCACAGCTTTCCAAACTTCTCGTTTTTCTCTCTGAGAAAATGACGCCTTTGTGCCCTTATAGGACTACTGCTGTGCACTGCCTCGCGGCCCTCCACCCGTCGGCCGGCCGCGCGGCAAGAGGCCCCGAAAGGGTATACCGGAAGGTGAAAACGCAGCGCTGCCACTGAGCCAGAGGTCGGGAGGAGGAGGAGGAGGAGGAGGAGGAGGATAAGGAGGGAGGGGAGGGAGGGAAGGAGGGAGGGGAGGGAGAGAGGGAGGGAGGGGAGGCAAGAGGTCGGGATGAGGAGGGATGGAGGGAAGGAGGGAGGGGAGGGAGAGAGGGGAGGGAGGCAAGCTAGGTGTGCTCGCGTCATATCTGACATCCTACCCCTCCCTCCCATCCCTTACCATGGCGTAGATCCCTTCTCTACTCGCACAATCGGATGTCGAGCAGGGCAATGATCCCGAAAGGGTACGCGATGCATTGTAGAGCACGGCATGGCATGGCGTAGAAGAGCACCGCAAAGCGTAGTATGTCACAGCATGGCGTGGCGTGGCGTAGTGAAGAACTGCATCACAAAGCTTTGCAACGCAAAGCATGGCATCGCACAGCGGCCCCGAACATAACATTGCATAGCATGGCGTTGAAGATCAAAGCGTAGCATGGCATAGCACGACGTGGCACTTAAGCACTGCATATCACAGCTTCAGCTGAAGGCATGGCATCGCGCAGCGGAACGCAACCTAGCATTATTGCATTGCATGCCGTGGCATGGCACGGGAAATGACGCCAGCGCTGCAGCGGGAGCACGATTCGGAACGAGCGGAAGCGCGGAAATGAGGCCAGCGCTGCAGCGGGAGCACGATTCGGAACGAGCGGAAGCACGGAAATGAGGCCAGCGCTGCAGCGGGAGCACGATTCGGAACGAGCGGGGCCCGAAAATGAGGCCGGCGCCTCAGCGAGAGCAGCATTTTGGAAAAAAATGCAGGCGAAAACCCAACTCCGGGGAATCCTGTGTAAAAAACAGTACGCGGGGGGGGGGGCGAACACTCCCAACCCGTCATCAGGGGAAGGAGGAGAGTAGTATTCATATTGAGTAATTGTGGAGGGATGGAGGGAGTGCCCCAGACGTCCCGACGAGGCGCGGCTGCTGGAGAGCACCCCGAGGCGGGACAAACTACGGGAACCTTCGAGACCGCCCGAAAACCCCGACGCCATGAGCCTAACCCCCCCCCCCAGGTGTTGCTAGAAGTGCCCCTGGCCCAAGGTGCCCCCAGCTTTTCGCTTCATGTTTGGGCCCCTGGGACCCTCTGGGCCTCGTGAAGGGGTGCCCTGGAGGCCGTCTGGGGCACCCTGAGAATCCTGGGGGTACCTTGGGCCAGAGGTACTTTAGCAACACCCGACGAGGGGGGGGATATCTGAAGCATTGAACTTCGTATGTTCAAAAATGTTCCGGAGTGCTCGGAGCCTCCCATAATTACACAGGTTCTGAGTGCCCCATTGCGTAGAACGCCGCGGCACACAATGGTTTGTGGATGGTCGCGGAGCGTCGCGGTAGAAACACCAGATGTTCGCAAGAATTAGACCACTGTGCGTTTTCATTCGGTTCCGAAAGAGGGGAGACTGGGAAACACATCCTCCAAATTCATCTTTACATTGGAAGCCACAGCGTCTTTGATACGTTCACTGGCACAACATTGTTCAAACAGACGCACGCATGTCGTTGTGGTATCTTCCATGTCCAAGATATGGAAGAACGTTTGAACACATGTTATGTATCAATATTGTGTTGAATATGCGTGCGAAGAAGAAGGTCCCGTTTGGGGGCCCCCGACACCAGCCCGGCTCCCCTGAACCGGGGTCCTGGCCATACCCGAGAGGGGGCGGGGACGGGGAGGGGAGACCTTCTGACGGGGTGCGCGGGGGGCCGAGGCGGGCAGAGGCGGCAGGCGCGCACGGGGGGGGGAGAGCGGATGGGCAGGGGGAAGGTCGAGGAGGAGAAGAGGAACGGGAGGCGAAACAGGAGGAGGAGGAGGAGGAGGAGGAGGAGGAGGAGGGAGGAGGAGGAGGAGGTGAGGCACAGCGATGGAGGGGGAGGGAGGGGGAGGAGGAGGAGGTGGAGGAGGAGGAGGAGGAGGAGGAGCACAGCGATGGAGGGGGAGAGGAGGAGGGGGAGGGGGGAGGAGGAGGGAGGAGGAGGAGGAGGAGGAGGAGGAGGAGGAGGAGGAGGAGGAGGAGGAGGAGGGAGGAGGAGGAGCACAGCGTTGGAGGGGGAGGAGAGGGAGGAGGAGGAGAGGAGGAGGAGGAGGAGGGGGAGGAGGAGGAGGAGGAGGAGGAGGAGGAGGGCGAGGAGGAGGAGGAGGAGGAGGAGGGAGGAGGAGGAGGCACAGCGTTGGAGGGGAGGAGGAGGAGGAGGAGGAGGAGGAGGAGGAGGAGGAGGAGGAGGAGGAGGAAGAAGAAGGCCCCCGCGGCGCCGATAGCCTTGCGCGTGGCGTCGCCGCCACCAGGGGGCGGCACCGGCTGCACAGGTCGCTGAGGGACCAGGGTGGGCGAGGCGAAGCCGTACCGCGGCAGCTGCACCGGGTGCTGTGGCCTTGGCCGCCCGGGTGGGGGCGAAAGCCCGGAAGGACAAAGGGAGCGGCAGCAGGATGAGGGTCCCGGGAGGGGATGGGGAGGACGACGACGAGGTGGAGACCGAGGAGGAGAGGAGCAGGCGGAGGGTGGAAAGGGAGAGGAGAGGCCGCGGAGAAGGAGCAGCGGGCGGAGCGGGGACAGCGGACGGCAAGAGAGCGGGCCGAAAGGAAGAGGACGGAGAGGTGGTCTGGCCCGAGATGCAGGAGCTAGCGGCCGCGGCAGCTCAGGGCGCCGCGGTGCTCAATATCGATGTGGGCGGGCACTCCTCAACCACAACGCGCCCCCCACACAGATCTATATGTTTATCAACCTATATATATATATATATATATATATATATATATATATATATATATATATGTATACACACAGATCCACCTTCGTGCTGGTAGGCACGGACTCTGTGTGTGTATGTGTGTGTCCTCAGGTCCTTTGCCTCGTCCCCAAAGCCACAGTCCTCAATGTCGAAGAGTCTCGTTGGGGGCCCGGACCCCGAATTCTCAAATATTCTTGGGCTTGGCGCAGTTCTCCTGGGCCCAAGACGGCCCAGGAAGGCCCCAAAAACGGTCCCAAGAAGGGGCCCAGATGGGGCACCCAAACTGACGTTTCGAGCCCTCGGCCCCAAGGGGCGGGCCCCCAGGAGGCCCCAAGAGGCCCCCACGAGGCTCCCAAGAGGCCGCCACAAGAGGCCCCAAAGAGGCCCCCAACAGGCCGCCAAGAGGCCCCCAAGAGGCTCCCAAGAGGCCCTAAACTGCTCCGAAAAGGCTCCCGAGAGCGTTCCGAAGAGACCCGAAGGAGCATCCCTGAGACATCAGACCCGCAACCCACACCTAGTGGCGGGATGGGCCGAAGGCCAATATACATAAAATATGTATAGATATACACTGACATGCATCCATCCATCCATCCACCCACCCACCCACCCACCCATCCACCAACCCACCCATGCAGACATATTGACACACACACAAATACATGCATGAATGCATGCACACAGACAGACAGACAAACAGCAGACAAACAAACAAACATACATACATAAGAGCAAGCATGCATGCATGCACGCACACATGCATACATACATACAGACATACATCCAGACATGGAAACATACACAAATGCACACTTACATGCATGCACACATACATGCCTACACCTGCGTATGCCAATGCAGGTACATGGTTGTAACCATGCATTGCGTACTTATTTCTATACTTATATATATATATATGCACAATCTGCAACGCCCCAGACGCACGACAAAAGATGGCGGTGTTGGCGGGAGCCAGTCGGATTGAACAAGACATCCCTTTGTCAAATTTCTCATGCATCGAACGGCTCAAGGCCGCAACGCATCCAACAAGTTTGCCAGCGACCGCATCGTGTATGAAAACAGTCGCGCGCGAAACAGAACTGCAGACAGACTGCACCCAGGTGGCGGTGGGCGAAGGCGGACGGTGCCGAAACACTTGAGCGCAAGTGTAGTTACGGTCGTGCCGAAAGACTGCGAGGCACAATTCACCTGAAAGAACGGCATTATGAAAGGCCCCAGACGCACGACCAGGGATGGCGGTGATGGCGGGGGCCAGTCGGATTGAACAAGACATTCCTTTGTCAAATCTCTCATGCATCGAACGGCTCAGGGCCGCTACACATCCAACAAGTTTGCCAGCAACTGCATCGCCCATGAAAACAATCGCGCACGAAACAGAACTGCAAACAGACTGTACCCAGATTTCCCAAGATCAGGAGCCGGTGAGGCATCTGGCGACAGAGGGCACAGGACTCACCTCACAACTTGCGAACAAAAAACAGCGAGGTCCTGGCAGCAAGCTTCTAGCACACAAGGGCGGCGGATGACAGCATAACATTCGAGAGCTCAGAAAGCTGGCGTGTCAGACGGCCGGCCATCTCGCAGCGGCGCACGCTCGCCGCGCACGTCCAGCGGCCGCGCCGCTGGACCTCGGCGAGCGAGCGGCAGTTGAGCGCGAAGTCGACGGACGCCCCGCCGTGCCGAAGAGAGCGGGGGCGGAGACGCAAGCGCTGGAGGCCGGCTGAGTCAGCCGCTCGCCCGAAGGCAAGCTCGAACTCACGGGCCGCGAAAGGGAAGAGCGGCCTGATCGCCGGGGTGGCCCTCTCGAGGTCGCGAAGCATCCTCGCCGCCCATCGCCTCGAGCCGGCCCCTGACGAACTGCCGCCGAGTCGCCGGACTTTATCGTGGCGGGCGGCGAGCAGTCTGGCGGCGGAGCTGGCATTGGGGTGGTCGAGACCTGGGGGCGCCCCGACGTCGCCGAGTGCCGGAGGCAGTTGACGTCGCAGGCCTTGATGCTAAGCAGCTCTGAGCCGGAGGTGCCCGTCGGAGGCCGCCGCCACGCCGGCCCCCGCGAGCCGCTGGCGAAGGTCTGGGAAGGTGAGGCACTAGTCGACCGTCAGCAGCGCCGCCGCCCACGGGCAGGGGCCCCGCTGCTCGCCGAAGGCCGCCTTCGAGAACCCCATGGGCGTCAGCCAGGCCTGAGGGAACTCGCCGGAGTCCCAGAGGTTGATCTTCTCCTCGAGCGCGAAGCCGTGCCGCGCGGTCCGAGCGGCGAAGATCCCGCCCCCGGCCAGGATGATGCTCTGCAGGTAGTCCACCATGAGCTGGCCCCTCTGCGCCGCCGTGGTCAGCTTCTCGGAAGCGCCTGACCTCGGCGGCCGCGCGGCCGCAATGCTGCTGCGCCTGCGGCTTCGCCCGACGCCGCGCCAGGAAGTCCTCGCGGGCCACCTCCTGGACGGCCCTCTGCTGGCCTATGGCACCGCGGGGCCGCCTGGGCCGCGAGCTGCTCAGCGGCGGAGCCGCGGGCCGCCCTGCCGAGGCGGAGGCGGCGGCAGCGCGCCGCGGCCTGCGACTGTGCGACGCTGCTGCCCCAGTCGAGCTGACCCGGCTGCCACTCCCGATGGCCAGCGGGCGGACCGACTGGGTCGGGCGTCCGCGCCGGGGCGTCGCACCCTACAGCGGCTGCCAGGCGAGCCCCCCCTCGGCATTCAGGGCGAGCACCGTGTAGGCGGCCGGCTTCGGGCGCGCAGGATCGCGGAATGCCAGCCCACTTCTGAGCCAATGCCTCCAAACATCGACCTGCGAGGCTGGTCTTCCAGACGGAAGCATTCCCAGGGTCCAGTCGGCCTTTCCCCGTGAGGACCCCGTGGACATGATCTCGGGAGCAGCGAGCACTCAGGGCCTCGAGGGGCTTGAGGTCGGTGACCAGAGTAGTGGGCTTCAGGTGGCAGCAGTTGTAGTGACAGTAATGCATGTTGACGAAATAATGACGATTGCGTTCCAAGAAAGCCGTGACCTCTGAACATTGCCAAAGACGTGATGAGGACGGGTTCTCGACTGACCACTTCACACCGAACCTGACACACAGTCGGAGCAGGTCGACAGTGAACGAAACAGAGCCACTGCGAAGCAAAATGCCTGGCCCGACTCCGCGTAGGGGTGGCCTGGCTGAAGGGCGCGCGCGGCGCGCCGAGGTGGACGCGCCGCACCTCCCGCCGAACAACGAGGGAGCGGATCACACGAATCACATCTTTGCCCGTGAGGTCGCGCCACGCCCCCCTGGAGATGTCCACAGGGACCCAGCGCAGAAGCCCCTCGTGCAGACAGGCGGCCGCGAGGCGGGCGCAGTGCGCATAAAGCTCGAGCGCGTGCCGGGATTGGCGCCGGCGGGGCGGCTGGGCCCCCGGGCGATGCGGGCCGGCCCCGGCCGGCGCTGCCAGGCCCGCCAGGCCCGGGGGGGCCGGCGGCGGCGGCGCCGGCAGCGCCGCCGCGCCCGCGGGGCCAGCGGCGACCGGCCCTGCCGCGAGGTGGCCGGCCAGGCTGGCAGGCTCCGAGCGCAGGTCGCGAGCCGATCCTCGCTGCGTCTGGCCGGGCGCCAGCTCGAAGCGGTCGGCTGCTCTGGAGTCGTAATCCGCGGGGGCCCGTTTGTTCTCGGATTCGCGGCGGTAGAACTGGGCGCCCGTCGCGATCTGGCGGGTGGCGGACGGGTGCGCCAACTGTCGCAGCACAGGGTTGGCGCACCTGCCCGTCTCGAACGACATCATCGACGAGAAGTTGTCGCCAATGGAGAGGGCGCGGCATCCGTGAGCCGCCGCCGACCTGGTGGCGCGCCTTAGCCCCAGCAGCGTCGTCTGGCCCTCGAGCACGCGGATCGGGGCTGGGAAGAGGAAGGCCCCGTGCACGACGCGCGGCCGCCTCGGCGCCGCGAGGGGTGAGTCGGGCCTCGCAAGGATGCCGCCCGCGCTGCCCGCAGCAGCAGCGGCGCGGCCCGCCGCGCCCAGGCGGAGGCGGCCCCTTGCCCGCGAAAACGTCGTCGGCGTCCCTGCTCACGTGGTAGGCCGCCAGCGTGGCGACCTCGGAGCCTGGGGGGTCGCCTGGGTCGTCAGCGCACCGATCCGCGACCCGGAAGCGCCAGCGCTCGCGGCGCGCCCCGATGTCTCTCAGCTCGGTGTCGAAGCGGAACGCGGCGAGGGCGTTGCCCCTCGTGCTGGCGTCGGAATAGTAGGCCCAGGGGTGCCAGGGCGCCCTTAGGTCGACGCCGGCGAGCGGGATCAAAGCCTTCACCAGGTTGAGCTCCCGCAGCTGCTCGGCGTCGAACCAGCAGCAGTCGCCGGCCGAGCAGACCAGCGAGCTCAGGACCGAGAGGGCGGGCGTAAGGGGCATAAAGCGGCGCGCCACGTGGCCGAGCAGCACCCCCATGGCGCCGGGAGTGCGCCCGCGCCGATCCAGCAATGCCGTCGTGGCCCGGCGCAGCCGCCAGCCGCGCCCCTGCTGTGGGGCCGCGCGGCCCGCAACGAAGTCGAACTGCACTCCG